GCCGGCTGCGGTGGGTGGGACCCGGCCGCCACATATGTGGAGCCCGCGGGCCGCGCACTCACGTCCGACTCCTTCTTCTCCGCCAGTTCCAACTTCTCCTGCGCCTCCTTCAGGTCCTCCGAGTACTTGTCCAATGCGTCCTCCGTCCCCCTGAGCTTCTTCTGCAGGTGCGCCAGCTCCTCCTCCGCCTGCGGATGGGGGGCCTCGCGTCAGCCCGGGGAGCCCCTCCCGCGCGCCTCAGTTTACCCCTCCGTGAAATAGGGATGACCCTAGCACCGTCACCCCACGAATGCCACTGTGAGCACGGTGTAGCATCCCGCCCCGGAGCTGGGGTTCGCTGTGCTTCAGCGCAGTGGGCTCCCCGATTCTCTTGGGGAACTCAGGAGAGCTTTTGGAAAACGGAAGACCGGTCGCGTCTGCCAAAAACACTGTACGTTCGAGGACTCTGTGCTCTGGGCTGTGGGGCGCAGCCTCCTGGTTGTCCTTGCGAGGCAGAAAGGGGTCCCTGGTTCACCTGCCCAGCCCCTCTCTGCCAGCCTAGCCTGGCTCCCCCTCATCCTGGCTCTGTGCTGAGAATCCCACCCTTCCTCCTGCCTAGAACCTTCCGTGACTCCCCATGCCCAGGACACCCTTCCTCACTGCCACGCCAGTGCCCCATGCGGAGTCCAGGCCCTGTCCCTCTGCTTCTGGATTTCTGGGTTTGGCCAAGAAGGGACCCAGCCCTTGCACACATTGGCTGTGTGTTCACCATACTGAAGTGTTCCCAAATTTTCAGTGTGTTCACCCTGAGGGCCCCGACACTGGCAGCCAAGCTGGGCTGTGGGACACAAACCACAGACCCCCCAGCCCCCATGGTCATCACACCGCCTCGTGGGAAAGGCCTGAGCAGGAAGCCAGCCTGCTCCTGTTCCCCAGTTCTGGGTGGCGCTGTCTGGCTCCTGCACCTAGGGGACTTGGGGCTCCAGGGCCGGGGTCCCCCCTTGGCCCTGCCTCAGTGTCCTGTCTTCTCCTTGTGTCAGAGGCGGGACAGTGGGTGACACTGCCTCCATTTCCCGGCAGTGTGGGTAAAATACGCCCGTGGTGTGTGTGTGTGTGTGTGTGTGTGTGTGTGTGTGTAGGTGCTAGTGCAAATTTTGTTTTTTCTTGCTGAGAACAAGTCCCCTGGCAAGCTCTCACCACTGAGTGGCACCCCTTGCCCCCCTTTAACATTTTGTTTTGAGACAGAGTCTCATTAAGTTGCCCAGGCTGAGCTTGAATTTGTGATTCTCCTGCCTCAGCCTCCCGAGTAGCTAGGATGACAGGCGTGTGCCACCAGGCCTGGCCTGGAGCAGATTTCTAGGAGGCCTCACCCCAAGGCCATCCGGTCCTGACCTGCCCCCTGGAGCCTGCTGCATCCAGCCTCACCCTACAGGATCCCTAGCTGGGGACCGCTGATCTGGCTGTCAGCCAAGGGGAGGGGACTGGCCCAGCCCAGGGCCTCCAGGGCTTTGTCTCTGGCCTCAGTTTTCCCATCTGCAGAGGGGAAGTCCTGGCTCGGGGTTCTCAGAACCTGCCATCTCTGCTTCTGAACTTCTGCCTTGACTGATTCTTAAAGGAGCTCAAACTTGTAATCCCAGCACTCTGGGAGGCTGAGACAGGAGGGTGGAAAGTTCAAGCCCAGCCTGGGCAACTTAGTGACTTAGTGAGACCCTGTCTCAAAGTAAAAATAAAGGGCTGGGGATGGAGCTCAGTGGGAAGGCCCTGGGTTCCATCCCCAGTGCAGGGAAAGCAAAAGTCCTTGGGATCCTTATGTATACCTAAAATGTACCAATAAACAAAATTTTAAAAAAGAAAAAAGTAAATGTGCCAGGCACACAGTGACTGTCTCTCTGAAGCCTCATGTTTCAGAAGGGTTAACTGAGTCCCCAGAAGGGGGAAGCACTCGCCTGGGGACATATAGATGGGGTTTGAGTTCTCTGTGTTGAAGTAATTGCTGAGCTTGGGGGGTGGGCCCTGTGGGCCTGGGTGGAGCACCCTGGGGTCTACTAGTCCTTGTCCCTGCATCAGGTCCACATGGGCCCGGGGCACTGTAGGAAGTCTGTTGAGTGAATCAGTGACAACAGCCTTGGTGGCATGAGGAGTAACAGGACCGACATGAGACACCACTTTCCTTTGGTCCAGGCCAGTGTACAAACCCTGCGTTGGCTGGCTTGGCCTGTGGGCCTCAGTTTCCCTGCCTGTGGAGTGCTGGGAGGATCTGGGAGCACATGTTGCTTCAGTCCCTGTACATGGGTCCCTCCCGACAGGCTGAGGCAGGATGTGGCGTCGCTGGCCAGGGTGGTGGATGTCTGTCTGGGGAGGGGAGGGCAGGAAGTGGCCAGGCGGGGCCTCTCTGCTCCCACTCTGGACAGACCCGGCTGGGAATGGGGGCTCCACCTCTGGTCCCCAGGGGTGGCTGTCTGTGGCCTCTGCTGCCCGAGGCTCTCGGTAAATGGAATCCCAGGTGGGACGAGCACCAGGCCGTGGGAAAGTACTGCTGAGCCTGGATCTGAGCAGTGTCCGCCCTAACAGGCAGCTTAGTTAAAAAAAAAAAAATCCAGATAGAGGCGGGGAGTCCATGCCACTCTGGCCACACCGCGGGCTGCAGGGTTCGGGCCTTCCCGGTTGAGCTGTGACTCCTTGGGAGATGCAGCCACAGCCATCGCTCACACCTCAGTGAGAATGAGACTGGTAAGTGTCTCTGACGCCCCAGGTCAGCCTTGCTCCAGCAGGACCAGACAGTGGGTGAAGCTGGCAGCCCGGGCCTGGTGCAGGCTGGGCAGCTGTGTGCCAGGGAGGCGGGGAGGGAGCCGCGGGCAGAGCTGGCTGACCCGGCCGGACTCTGGGCTGGGCAGGAGGGCAGTGGGAAGTCGAGTGGGCGTGGCCCGGGTTTATCGGGGCCAGGGCGCCCCGCCCCTCCAGGCCCTGGCCTGCGGCTCCCTGACCACCTCCTGGTGTCCCAAGTGCCCATGCCCCGGGATCCTGGGTTCCCACTGGGTCCTGCCTTGTCTGGTGACAAGTGGCCGCCCACCCTATCCCTTTTTTGGCCCGGGTTTATCGGGGCCAGGGCGCCCCGCCCCTCCAGGCCCTGGCCTGCGGCTCCCTGACCACCTCCTGGTGTCCCAAGTGCCCATGCCCCGGGATCCTGGGTTCCCACTGGGTCCTGCCTTGTCTGGTGACAAGTGGCCGCCCACCCTATCCCTTGGGCTTGGAGCGGGGTCCGCGTCTAACATACAGGGCACAGGGATACGCGGGTCCCACAGTGCCACGCACCGCAGGGCCATCTGCCCAGCCTGGTGCAGGGACACAGGGTCCTCACATGTGCGCGCACACGCAGTCAGTGGGAGCCACCTTGACACCACCCAGCACGGCCATCCCTGGACACAGGCACAAGCGCGCGCGCTCCCACTCACACACGGATACGCGTGCACACACGGACACACACACGGACACACACACGCGCACACGCACAGGCTCGCCCTCCGGCCCTGCGATCCCCGTCCGCAGCCCTGCAGCCCCTCACCTGCCGGCACTTGTCCTCTGCTGCCTTCCTGTCGGCCTCGGCCTGCTGGGCACGGTCCATGGCGTCCTCCCGGTCCAGCTTCAGCATCTGCATCTTCTTCCTGATGGCCTCCATGGCTGCGGCAGGACGGCGCGGGAGGGACCGGGTCCTTATAGGCAGCGCTGCTGAGGCGAGG